TTACAAACATTTAAAAAATTAAAGTAAAACATTAAAGTAAAAAAATCATTGGTCGATGGGATGAGGTGATGGATTTTTACACGTCTCCCCCTCAAATCAACTTTTGTACGTCAAATCATCCTTACAAAAATTGAAGCAAAAAATCGTTGGTCGATGAGATTATTTGATGGACTTTTACACATGCCGCTCCCAGGGCTAAGAGAACCACTCCCAGGACCAAGAGACTTAACTTTTATAAACATTTAAAAAAATAAATTTAAAACTTTAAAGCAAAAAAAAAAAAAACCATTGATCGATGAGATTAATTGATGAGTTTTTTACATGTGTGGGTCCCCATAAAAGTAATGGCAGTCTATCTACACTCGTATAGATTCTATTTTGTGAAACTTTAGGAGGTTGGTTCGCAGTCGGAATCGAAATCAGAATCGGAATCGGAATTCATAGGAATCAGAAATGGAATGGCCCATTTCCAAAGTCTATTTGGTTGAGACAAGAATGGAATGGGAATTGAAATTGATGAGGGCCAAATCAACTTCGTGATACATGACATCTTGGAACCATTGGATGACATATATACATCATCTAAGCGATGATTTGGAGTCCCAGATCGTAGTTCGTCTTTGCTCAGACTTATCGACCTCGGCTACAACTTAGGTCGGATAGGAGCACATCGTCCAGCGCTGACCTGTAGCACCTCGTCATTGGCTAAAGTGACCTTGGCGCGAGAAGCGACCTCCCTTGAGGGCTTGTCGGCCTGACTAAGGTCCAAGTGGCGACCTACGAGATGTGCTCGTCGACAAACTCAACATGCATATCCCGACACTCCCAAGTTTCTCGGAAATTGGCCCACGTACCGAGTGTTCTAGAGCATGGTCAACGTGCGTGATAGTTACCTTCAAGGATTTCGGAGCAGTAAGGCACAATCTCCCGGAAATCTCGGATGTGGTGCGTGAAACCAACACCAAACAATGCCTATATAAAGGCACCAACCCCAATGACACAGGGTAAAAGGTACACGTGATTATTTACTTACAAGCACTCAAGCATTCAAGTATTTAGCTCGCATCCACAGTATAGAACTGAATTAAGCATCGGAGTGACCCCGTCGGGCTAGTCACCCTGGGTTCTCTGATCAATTATTTTGCAGCTTGGTCCAGCTCGCGGCGCAGCTAGAGTTCGGATCACCTTCCAGCTAGGAGTATCTAGATCGCACACCATCAATTGGCACTGCCTATGGGATGCGCTACAAGAAGTTAAGTTCTCACTCTCTAATTTCCATTTTGTTACTAACTAAATGGTATTTTTAAGCAGCACCAACATCAAGAACGAAAAATCAATTACTGGGGGACAAGAACATCTGACAAACCTTGAGAACCCCTCCTGTGACAATCAGGTGTAAGCATGGGAGAAGTTCGGTGCATTCACAAAACAATCAACAACTGAATGGCCCCAACAACCAACAGTCTGATGACAGGCACCTTGGAGTAAGGCCACCCCTCCAAGTCAAGCCCTTCGTGGCTCCCGCAAGAGTTGATGATCAATTGATTAAGCAGCTATGGCAACCTCATTTCAGCTTAGACGAGCCTCATTAGCCTTCATCGCGAGGTCTCCCCTACAGGTTGAACCCTTCGTGGCTTCCACGGGAGTTAGGGGCCTACGGACTATGCGGACGCCCTTGCTAGTTGAGCTTTTCAAGGCTCCCACACGAGTTGGCGAACTACAACTAATTGAGCTGCCCCTACAGGTTGAGCTCCCTATGGCTTCTCGTAGGAGTTGATGACCAGCATCTCCGAGGGCTGATGTAGTGCAACCGTAACATCAACTTATCATCTAACGTCGAAAGTAATGACAAAACCTACAAACTGAACAGAAATGAATAACCAGCCCAGGCAAGCCTCAACGATTTGACCCGAACTGCGAAGCCTCACTATAGATCGAGCTTTTATGGCCCCCCTAAGAGTTGGAAGCGAATTGAAAGTGAAACTGCCTTCATAGGTCAAGCCCCTTATGGTTCCCGTGAGAGTAAGCGACTAGCATACAACAGAGCTAACCCCTCAAGGTGAGGCATCCATGACTCCAATTGGAGTAGGCGGTTAGCAGTTCCAGGAGCAATACGCCATGATCTTGCAAGCACCTTCCCAAAGAAGCCAATCTCAAGTGATGATGTAGAAGTAGCCACATCTAAAGTTACAACAGAATGACCACCCGCTTAAGTGAACAGGTCAGGTCGCACATTGGCTAAATAATGTTATGGAGAGTGGATTATGAGTTGCACCCAGAGCCTAAGGGCTAAGGTGCCGAGCTGATAAGACCTCGGCACCACATAAGACCCAATCGCCTCTTCGGCATGGGTAAGATCAAGGATAAAGAGAGTAACCATAAGTCGGTCCTAGAGCCAAGGGCTATGACATCAAACGAAAAGTGACCTCGGCGCTAAACACGAATAAGACCCAATCGCCTCTTCGGCATGGAAGAAATAAAAAACAATTTGCATTCAGCACGAGAAAGAGACAAAGGAAAATCTAGTTCGCTCTCAGCATCATGACAGATGCAAACTTAGCCAATCTCTTCACCTCGGTTTCAGGCTCCGTGTCGAACTCGCTAGCTACTCTTTTGAGAACTAGCTCGAGTGACACTGCGTCGAAATCTATCTAGGTGGAGTGACCTGATAAAGCAATCACATAGAACCCCTTCATGAGGGCGACATGATGAGCTTTGCTCTTGAGGTGATAGGTCGGATTGCAGAACCCCTTGATGGTTGCATCCCTAATAAGGTAGATGTCCTTGGGGTACCTATTTCACCTCTCCTCGAGCGGATGAGTTCACTCTCGTGCCCCGAAAATCAAGACAGCGAGGTCCTGCTTAAGGCTGCAAACACTTAGACTCTTCTGACCTGAGAAGCAAATTGGGTCGACGCTAATAACTACGAGCTCATCAAACAATCATTCTGGGCCAAAAGGAGCACTCTCTCCCTTCGCCGAGCTGCCCTCAGCTCGAGAGTGGGGGGCAATTGATGAGGGCAGATTTGGCCCTCTAGTAACATCGTGACACATGGCATCTTCGCTCCGACTTGGCGACCTCGGCCACAACTTAGGTCGGCTAGGAGCACCTTGTCCAGGGCCGACCTGTAGCACATCGTCACTGGCTGAAGTGACCTCGGCGCAAGGTGCGACCTCCCTCGAGGGCTTGCCAGCCTGACTAAGGTCCAGTTGGCGACTTGTAAGATGTGCTCGTCGACAAATTCGACATGCATATCCCGACACTCCCAAGTTTCTCGAAAGTTGGCCCATGTGCCGAGTGTTCCAGAGGATGGTCAACATGTGTTGCAGTTACCTTCAAGGATTTCGGACCAGTTAGGCACGACCTCTCAGAAATCTCGGATGCGGTGCGTGAAGCCCATGCCAAACAATGCCTATATAAAGGCACCAACTCCAATGACACAGGGGAAAATGTATGCATGATTATTTACTTACTAGCACTCAAGTATTCTAGTATTCAGCTCGCATCTACAGTATAAAACTAACTTAAGCATCAGAGCGACCCCACCGAGAAAGTCACCCTGGGTTCTCTGATCGATTATTTTGTAGATTGGTCCAGTTCACCGTGCAACTAGAATTCAGATCATCTTTCAGCTAGGAGTATCTAGATCGCACACCATCAGAAATCAACAAAAATAGGATTTCATTCCCTAAGGAGGGGTAGGGAATTGCCATTCTCTCAAATGAGGGAATGCCATTCCAGCATAAATGGGAATAGATAAAATTGATTTCAAACCAATAATAATCGGGATACTATATTATAACCTGAAACCGACCCATCAATTCCAATTCATAGAATTGAAACCGACCCAATCAATTTGGGTCCATCAAGTTGGACCCCGACCCACTGACCACTTTGGATCATTTGTCCACAAAAATTCTGTCCACGTCTACCCACAATAGACTACTCCTGTAAATTAAGAATATCTCCGCCTCCATGATACATGAGATGTTATGTAGGTAAACGTAGACAGAGTTTGTATCGACAGGAGTTGCGGACTCCCCATTGACAGCCCAAGGAACATTATTACTCTCATTTAGCATCCCCTAAGCTCAGTTTGAAAATAGTATAAATACAAATATATAATAAAAACAAGGTTTATAATATATAAAATACATATTTTTGCACCGTAGACTTGATGATCAGTTTGGGATATGTGTAATACAATCTACAAAAACCTTAAAATGTACATATTTGTAATTACACTATTTCGCTCTTATCTGTTTGGATCAGAAAACAATTTTGTATGAGCTTTGGGCACCAATGGCACAAGAACACGTTAGGTACTGATGAGTTTAGGCAATGAAGACGCCCGCATTGAATCAATTTTTATCAAAGCCAGAGTCCACGTAAGCGATAAAGGGATAGGAACAATGACGCGTCTTCCCGTACCTTTTAAGACTTTATCGTCTCCAAGACAACGACAAACTTTCTTTCCTACACCACGTGGCACCTAATCCATACCTTCGTTATGATCTCTACCCACTCACTCACACTATCGCTTTTCCTTTTACTTTTTGTTATCATCAGCTTCAGCTTCAGCTTGGCTTCCGAAGACTGGCTAGCCAGCCACCAAGCCCCATTTGCCTTTTATCACTCATGACTTTCTTACACGTGGAAGATAGCTCGTCCTCCGATCAGTAGCGGCTAAGCTACGAGTTTGGACTTCAGGAGCTTTGGAGCTCACAAACACTTGATTCTAGAATAGGCGGGTGAGGACGAATACCGCGTGCTCTCCCAACGGTAATGACTTTGGATGAGAGAGAGATGTGGGCACAGGAAAGAGGAAAAAAAAAACCAGGTGCCCTGTCGAATCTACTACTACAAAATCAGTAGTAGATTCGGAACATTCTCAACAGTGCCCCTGCCCTTATCGATAATTTACAATGTATTTGTTGCTATAGATCAGCTATTTCACAAAACCCCGAGGGTTTTTGTTTATTCTTCTCACCTTATAAGGAATTGGTCTATTCGTTCACTGACGCTGTTCTAAACTTTTCCAGCCCCCTTCATCTTCAATCCTCTTATCCTTTTGTTGCTAAATAAAGGTAGAAGAGATCATCGGGTTTTGCTTTTCAATCGGCGACGGCTGTTTTCTGAGCGGTAATGGACGTAATGTCGCGGCGAACCACATCTTCCTTGAATCCAAACGCTCCATTGTTCGTTCCATGGGCTTATCGGACGGTGGAAGATTTTTCCGACCAATGGTGGGAACTGGTCCAGACTTCTCCTTGGTTTCGCGATTACTGGCTCCAGGAGTGCTTCCAAGAACCTTCCCAAAACGGCGACCTTGATTGTCCCCATTACGACGGCGATGAGCCTTTCCTCCCCGAAATCGATTTTCTCTTCGATGGCTACGGCGGCCAGCGTAAGTATTATTATACTCCCGAAAGAAATCGATCGATCGATTTCTTTTTCTAATAATTTTTAGATATCTGATTTGAGCTCACTTGCAGAGGAGGATGAACAAGAGAAGAACTATTACAGGGATCTTGTTTCGTTGGGAGCCTTGAAGTGGCGTAGGCCTCGAGGATCCTCAGATATTCCCAAGTACTCAGAGAAAGCCCCTAAGATTGTGAATGTGAAGGTCAACCCTCGCCCAATTCAACAGCCGAGGTAGAGAGAGAGTCGGTTTCCGGCATGGTTTGTTTGTCGGAACGAGAGAGGGGCAGGCAACAGACTTATGAAATCAAGTGTAGTTACGTTGTTGTTTTTGTTCATCCGTCTCCTTTTTTCTTCTTCTTTCTGTAAAGAGAAGTTGCTTACTTTTAGTTTTCAGAGTTTCTTTGTTCTTCGTTGTCGTTTGTAGTTTCTTGTAAATTTACCAAAAAACAAAAAAACATTTTCCGCTTATGAGAAGAGAGAATTGTCTGGTCGCTCTTCTTACTTTGATTCATGATGTTCCGTACCACCGTGATTGTTTGTTGTATATAGACATTGTGTAGTTTAGTTTTTTCCACACATGAGCAGCAGAAGCAGAACCGAATGGAGAATGGTACTGGGTTGTGCTTTCTTTGGGCCTGTTGGTGTTGGCGTGTTTTAAGTGGGGCCCCTCGGTATGGTTTCGACGGATGGATTGAAGAAAATCTTGAAATCGGACATACCTGTGGAAGATTTCAATCCAATGGTGTAAGGAAGATGGCCTACACAATTCTAATTCTATTTCTAATCTCATCAGCCACTTAAAATTTTTTTTTTTTGTCAGCCAAAAAAAAAAAACAATACACTAAAGCTGTATTTTGGTTTGAAGGAAAAAGTAGGGAAAGGAAGGAAAGAACTTGTATAAGTTTCCCTACCTTTCCCTTCCTTCAAACCAAACATAACCTAAATTAACAGATGAAATGTCTATGCCCTCCATACAAACTTTGTAAGCTAAAATATGAGCCAAGTTATTACTATCCCTATTTATGTAGTTTACTTGGAGGTGGGTTTGGCCGTTTGGGGCTTGGGCTGGTAGCCTGGTACCAGTGTTATATTTTTTCTTGCAACATCGTTACTGGGCCTATGCTGGTTCGGCCCAGAGACGACCGCAGACTAGGACAGGCCTAGCCTATCTCGGTATCTCCGGATTTGAAAAGCTCAAACGTGTACGAGGTTTCTCTAGTTTTTTTTTTTTTCAAACCAAACACAGCCTAATGGAGGCTGCTTAGGGCGAATTGACTGTATTAAGTAGGTGTGTATTTTAAATTAGTGGAACCAACAACCAAGTCATCTCAATCCTGATCCTTCTCGATATTGTGAGATGAATTTCACATCCTTCTTTACTGCAAAAGCCGAACAATAAAGTATTGTTTGCCCTTCTTATTAATATTTCATCAGCTAGAAGAAGCTTGTCCTTCCTAAAAGTGGAAGTCCTTTTCTTTTTCTTTAATTTTCTTCCAACTCCTTGAGTGAGTGAGCTCCTAGTGACGTCCATCTATTTGTCAGTTCAACAGTGAAGAGAGTGAGCCAAACAAAGCAGATGGGCAGACTGCAAATCTGCAATGTCTGATAACATGATAGTACTTCTAGTTTTGAACCATGCATTCATGTAGAAGCTAGCAAGTTCTTTTGTATTTGTAGACATACCTTAGGAGGTTACAGCACGCGCAATACTTGGCTCTGAACTCCAAGCCTAAATCTTATAACTCTAAACCATTAAGTCCAAATCCTGAAACCTTAAAATTTAAACTCTAAACCATTAAATCCAAATCCTGAAACCCTAAAATTTAAACTCTAAACCCTTAAATCTTAAAATCTATATTCAACTCAAAATTAGTGTATAAAATGACTGGTAGGATTTATGTCCTCCAACGTGGTAGGTCAAATATTTTGTGTTGGATGTTACGTGAATAGATGTGGGCAAGAGATCCGGAGGGCCGGACTCACACAAGAATGGGTGGCCACTGCCCAGTGCTCCCCGAACCGAATCCTGATGGTAATAGGTGGTCCACCATGGTAATGTCCCGTATTCAACCCAAAGATCCACAGCTGGATGCTATCTTCGTCAGCTCGTGCCTTGGAGCTCTCATAATCTACTGATACAAAACCCAATAGGGGGATCCAGTCTGCTTATTTTCCCCGGGTCTGATATGGGATTACCCACACTGGTGGCCCATTTACTTGAGGGTATAACCATGGCTTATATTATTGGATAATACCATTAAAGCCCATACTTTTTCACACTCTATACTGTAAGGAACTGGCCAACTAAACTTGTTAGCCCACTTTTTGCCACCCGAGCAAGAATCATGTATGTGGAAGATCATAGACATTGATGATGTTAGGGTTGAAAAGTATGAATTTGGTTTAACTTTCGGGTTGGATTAGGGTTGAGGCATTTACCAATTCTACCCAATTTAACATTAGGTTTATATGTATAAATTATATAAATATGTATTTATGTGTTATTTTTACTGCAAGTATTTATGTTTTTTTTACATGTATTTCAAAAAATTTAAAGTTTAAAGACAATTTTTCTAAAACAGTACAAGTGTAATTATATTCTTTTACACATAATAATGCTACACTTTAAACGTAGACCTTTGAATCTAGAAAATAAGAACACTTGACAAAAGGAAATAGTAAAATTGGAGTAACATGAACCCAACCATGAGGGTAAGGGTAAGGGTTAAGGTTCAAGAACTCAGGTTGGATTAGGGTTGATCTCAACTGTTTGTAATCTAGGTGATATTTGGCATTGATGATGATTTTTTGAAAATCATTGCCATGTCAGAGCCACGTCAACATTAGAGGAATTGGCATTGAAATTTTTGTTTGATTGGACAATTTTCTTGATATTCAGAAATCCAGACATTTTTTTGAGGATGACATGGCATTGAATAATAAATGTAATACAAAAATAATCAACCTTTGAGAATCAGTATCAAATAGACTCAAGGCCAACTTCTCAAAAATCAGCTTATATGTCAGAAATGATACAAAATATACCGATTTTTGAAAAAAAAAACATTAATTTCAAGAATCACCGATTTTTGAAAAATCAATAATAAAAAATCATCATCGCTGCCCAACATCATCCTAATCGGAGTTATACCCCTACTCACGGCCCAAATCCTCCCATGATATCATATAATCAGTGGTAGTATGTTGACACAATGGGCCATGAAATCTGGGCCTTATTGTTTTGACAATGTCAATTGGGGAATTGGTCTAAGTCTACGTCAACGATATATATATATATATATATATACAGGAATTCTTAACTATTTCGAGTCTAATCTAATTTTATAGTAATAGTAAAATTGGTTTACTAAAGACTCAAAAGTTCAAGTCTCACTGCAAAGTTATTTTTAAGTGATTTTATCGGTGGTGTATAATATTTAAATATCGTTGTAATTAAATTTATCTATGATAATACTATACGAATTCTATTTGGATAGAAACTACCTGCAGCCGTAGATAGTCTGCTAACCTTGAATAGAATCGAGATGATGACGTGTACACATGTTTAACATTGGGCCAATCACCAAGTGATGGTGGCTTTGTTGCTATGTCTTTGACATGGCTAAGTTCTGCATCAAGCTGACATGGCGTATCATCATGATTGCTCCTCTTCTTTTTCTAGCGGATTCTAATTGCGAGTCCAAAGTTTAATTAGTTTCTACCCAAAATTCCAAACAACTAGATTATGTGGTCTCTCTCACTGAACATACGAGGGCTCCTTAGGAAGATCATTCATTTATAAATTATGTATGTTGTGTTTGGTAAAAATCTAAATAGCTAGCCTTCAATAAAAAAAATTGGCTTTTCACAATAGTTCGATTCGATCTAATGGCTTTCCCAAAACGTTTTAGTGAACGCAGCTACAGCTCAATTCAAGCTTCAACCCTCCCAAACGGTCAGACAGGGTATAACCGGATGAGTTCAATTCTGAAAAATCTGGAGATTGGGGAAGACTTTGACTTGATCAAACAGTGAACACCTTTTCAGTCTCACTTGAAAAGAACACGGAAGAAGAAACACCATATCATTTCCTCTACCGATGAGTAGATAGATGTGCTTTGTTTTAATTACTTGTTGTTTTCCGGTTTTCCCTCTCTGTTCTCTCTTCCCAATCCCCATTCTTCATTAATAACCAAACAAACGAGGAATCTTTTAAGTAAGTCGGTGGGTCGGTGCGTACGTAGGAGCGGCCCACTTGCCACTTGGAGAGTGCCCCCAACCCCAATCACCATCTTCTGTCAAAGAAGTTGTGTCGTTCAAAGTCTCTCATACGTAATTTACCAACTTAACCTTCTCTCCGGAATTGAGCAAGAAGAAGGGAAAGGGCAGTGTTGATAATTTCAACTTTCAAAAAGAGGAGGATGAGAGATGAAAGAAGGAAAAAAAGAAGTCGACGTGGACAGACTTGGCTTGGCATCAACAAGAGGAGACAAGCTGAGGGCTTAACCTCAACCAATTCGTTGGCCAAGTAAAAACACCGCTACAAATCTTTGACTTGGACACGTTCAAGGCCGCTGGTGCTGCCACTTGTATGCATCACGCTTTCATACTCTTCTTCTTACTTCTTATTTATATTTATTACTGTCTTATCTTAAGAAACAAGAAAGATAGACAAATCACGCTTTATTAATAACAACAAAGAATGAAAGGGCAGCATCTCCGTTTAAATTTCATCATCAAAAGAATATATGTTATTGAATTGGAAAATCAAATAAATAAAACTCTCTCTCTCTCTCTCTCAAATTCTGTCTATTTCTTACTTTGTGATACATGTATGAATTGAAATGAGGCCTTTCTCTTTTCTTCTGACACTGCAAGAGAAGGGCCTCAAAACAAATGAACCAATGGAGAACCAACTTGTTCATGTCAGTTTCAGTTTCAGAAATATACAAGCCAAATCCCTACCAAATATACATTATACATTAACCAAACAAATTTAATGTGTCCTGTTGAATCTGTTTTAGAGCTAGCCCTCATCCCCTCCCTCCAACTAATTAAATTAGTATCACAAGTCTCAACAGAGCAGTGACTCAAGAAACAAGTCATCCCCGGGCTCTTCTTTGGCTGTAGCGAACACACTACTGTCAATGTGTAGTGATTGGTTGGTGTAGGAGGGCATGGAGTTTCCAATTCCTGAAGAGAACCCAAAATTGCCGGGGCTACTATGGCTGCTACGCAACATTTCTAGTGTRAAGGGTGGTTGAGTTTCGGCTGTTATTGGTGGTCTAACGCTGCGAAGCGGGTTGGTGGAGCTGTAGGGACTAAAGGTATTGGTAGTGGGGGTAGGCCTTATAGCAGCCATGGCCACATTGTTAGCAGCTGCAGCAGTGTTGTTGTTCTTGTTATCAGGTGTGGGCCTATTAATCAAATGGCTTCCGCTGCCACGAGCAGCCGGAACATCGTGGTTGTGTTTGCCCTCGTAAGTGGTGATCACCGCCCTTAGGTCATGGGATGCTCTCTCCACATGCTTTCTAACCGGGCATCCCACATGTGTACACTTGTAGTAGCTCCTGCACGCCAGCAAGAAAACCATGTCAGACACAAAAAAAAAAAAACAACAGATACACAGACAAACAGAGAGATCGAATTCAAACGTCTTTGATGCAAAGCTAAACAAATAAAGGATCTATTTATCAACATAAAAAGTAGGTCCTGATCCTGAATAAGGTTCAAAATCATAAACCAAGCCCACGTTCCATGCAACATGTAAGTTGATGAAGAAAAAAACACTATTAAATATGACTAGATTGGGCGGCACTTCTATGGATAATGGATGACTATTTTTGACTGCAACTTGAAAGCTAAATGCCTTTGCAAAAGTAAAAGGTGGGATGAGGAATGCTTATTGCCTTGGATTGGGATTCCCCTTCACTACTTTCTGCCCATATTTTCTCCATCTGTAACCATCATCAAGAATATCGATATCGCTTGTTGTTTGGACTATAACTCTGGGCTCTCTCACGGTTCTGCTCCCAGCTGCTGAGATACCCTCATTTTGATCACCCTCTGTGGTAGTCTTCCTGAACTCCAATAAAAGAATGAACAATCAAAACCAAATTTCACCATCTCCTTACCTAACTACGGAAACATACATAAATGAGAAAGAGTATCTTCCTTGTTGCGATGAATATAATAGTTAGGCTTACCATCGTTTTGCATTGGGTTCATCTTCATCAAATTCATCTCCTGCTGATCTGCTCATCTGAGAGCTCTGCTCGAAGTCGTCCTCCCCCATTGAAATTGATGAATTCTCGGGTGTTGCACCGGACTCCATTATTTGCGATGCCACCCCTCGTGTTGCGAACGACGGATCTGGGATTTCCGAGATGGGGGCTGCAGACGCTTGAATTCGATGAGAGGAGGAGGAGGATCTTCTGGTTGACTGAGGCTTTGGATGGTTGTGGTTACCCTTGTACACTATCTCCGTAATCTGTCCATCCAAGGACCTCTCCACTTTCTTCTTAACTGGGCAATCCGGGAAAGTGCACTTGTAATAGCTACGTGGATTCTCGCTTCCTTTCACCTGTTTTTGCCCATATTTTCTCCAATTATAACCATCATCCAATCTCCTTTGCTCCCTGAAAGATTGACAAGGTTGAGAGTACTGATTATGATTCGACTGGAATCCACCGTTGCTCTGGGTGTTGTTGGCTTGGATGCTGGAAATCTCATGAGAGAAGTTTTGCATCGGAGCATATTCAGATTTCACCATGGGCTTCCCGGATGAGAAATCGGCTTGCTTGGTGGGTTGAAAATTCCACTCTTGCTCAAGTCCTTTTGAGTTTTCGTCCTATCCAAGTTGGAACGAAACAAATAAGAAATTTCGAAGAGCTATCTATTTTATTTATAAAAATGATTAAGAACTCAAAAAGAAAATGATAAGAGGGATTCCCTCTGATCGGGAGAGGGAAACGAAATAAACATGGACAAGATAAAACAACACAGCACGCGAAGATGGAAATTAATATACCTTAGAAATCGTAGTGATAGAAGATTCAAACATGGATACCGAGCCCATAGCGGGCCTTGTTTGGGGTTGAAAAGAGAAATCCGGTAAGTTTTTCTCTTCCTTCTTGATACCATGCTGGTAGTTAACAGAATTACTCTTCCAATTGAACGCTTGAGAGGGAAGTGTCCCAGTCGTAGGAGACTGCAGAAGCTGCTGATACACACCAAAAAAGAAATGCACTTGAACTCAGAATTCTCTAAATAAATCAATTAATCAATCCAACACAGAGAAACAAGATTAACTGAGCTACCCAACACAAGACAGACAACAACACGTGAAGATTTTAATTAATTAAAGAACAACAAATGGATTTCGAGTTTATTGATTCTAAGAAGACAAGATCAGAAGAACGTAGAAAAAGGAAAGAACGTTGATCAGATTAATCGTACAAAAGAGAGGGGGAGAGAGAAGCGCGCAGTATTCATGGAAACTTGGAAATTAAGCAAGAGAGACGAAGCGTATACTTACATTAGAAGCGGAGAGGAGGACGGGTGAATCCAAGAGGTCGGTGGGGCTCAAGCCAGGTGGAATAGCGAAGTAAGAAGAAGGAGAGACAGGAGGAGGTGAGATGGGCAGTGAAGGAGGAGGAATCGACTTGAACTTTGGAACACTGGCTCCAGTTCTATCGGCGAAATGATCAGAAAGCCATTTGTCGTCGTCACCGGCGAGAAGGTCGGAGAAAGAAGAAGTCATGAATTGGTTAGAGAATGAGAAGGGTGTTGGATGAGAATTTGCAGATGTCTCTAAGCTCCCAGATGAAGAAGCCATGAGAGAGAGGATGAAATGTGAGATGGGCGGTGAAACACCCTGTTGAAAGGAGTAAAAAGATGTGCAACATAGTCACATCCCCAAGGTCCGAAGCATTTTCTGAGAAGCTAAGAGGAGCTTTGACCGTGGAAAGTTTCCTTTCGGTCAAAACGTGTGGCTTTGACTGGCTGGCTGATTGCTGAAGGAAGGAAAAGAGGCGGCTTGCCTCCTCGCGCGCGCGCGCGCTCTCTCTCTCTCTCTGGCTGTGTGTGTAATCAGCGTAATCAATGTCTTATCCAATCCCAACTTTTCGGGACAAAATTACTATTTTTACCCCTAATATTTTCGCATATGACATTGTCCACACATTGACTAATGGTGACTTTAAATGTCTTTCATGCCCCTGTGCATTGTATAATATTCAAGAATGCTCCACCATTCCTCTAGAAGAAGTGAAGAGCAATCGTTGTAAGCCTGTCCTTTATGTTGGACCGCAACATACGGACCCCACAGTCCCATCCCACCGTCTATTGGGAACATTTGATATCTCCCGTCCTTTTACGGGCCTGTTTGGCATGTCTTTTTGTATGGTTTTTTTGGTTGTTTATAAGTTGGGAAGACCGATTTTTGGTCTATTCCCGTTTGACTTGCAGAAGATCTAGCCGTCAAAAGGTGGAGTGTTAAAAAGATGCGAGAAGCCCATTTTGGACTGATTTCGGGAAGCCTCAAATGAAGTTTTACGTGTTTTTTACGTTTTATTCTCATGCGGAAAGGCACAGAAAGACGTGCATCTACCAAATGTGCTTCGGACTGTTCAGATCTTCATACAAAAGTTAAATGCGTCTTTTACATGCTAGAGCTGCCAGAAGATCTTCCCAAAAAGACACGCCAAACGGGCCTGTTGTTTCTTACGACTAGCTGGCTGGTTTCTTTGTTCGCTTCTCCTTATTCCTTCCAACATGGGACTGAACGGTTAAAACCCCAAGAAGCAAATGGCCCCCATACAAGGAATATCCGGACAGACAAGTAGGGCTGTCAATTGGACTGGATTTGGTCCAATCCGATCTAGTCCAACATTGGTTTATTTACAAATGGACTATCTGATTCAAACCCTATACAAATCGGATCCAATCCAATCTAATTGAAATGCAAATGGACCAATTGGAGACCCAATCTAATCCAAATTAAATAAAGTTTGAAAATTACATGAAAGCCTAAAAATATAAAATAAAATGTAGAAATATACTAAAATTTTCACAATTTGGATTAGACCGTTCGTAAATAGACTTATCCATGCTCAAACAACATACTGAAAAGAGCATTTTCTATGCAAAAGTATTAATTCATCTTAAAATAAAAAGCCTACAGTCCATAATCCCAGATTCCCAGTGGGCTAGTGAGCTTCCATTATTTGATGCAAAAGAGCATTTTGGCTCTAGGCAACTCCACTCATCGGTTCAAGTCACCAGTCACTCTCACTAGCTAGTCAGTCAATCACATGAGGGATGCTAAATGTAAGTTGTTTTTTGTTTCTCTGTCAAAAGTAATAAACTTTGTTTCTCCATTTCTCAGCACAAGTAACCAGTAGCATGTAAGAAGTAGGTCACAAAATTCAATGAAGATGTAAAGGAAATATTGTGGGACATCTGAACCAAGATTTAGGCGTGCTTCAATTCAAGAAAGGGTTCAGGTGCAGAAGTATTTTCTATTTTATCACCCAGAGATACAGGGATGGCAGCATGAGCGGCTCCTAACCCTACACTTTTCTATTATATTTAATAGAGATGTTACAAAAATGTTGGGGGAATTAAGTAAATTCTATTAAGTAGGATGGTAAAGTTATATGCGGGGGTCTCTTTGAAAGACAAAGGAAAGTCAAGAGCAAGAGRTAGGGTAAAGGATAGGGTGAATGAAGTGATAGAATGATGATCTCGTTATGAATTAGACCCCATTTATAGAGAGAGATCCTAAGGTCCCAAAAGGAATGAGCCAAAAGTGTTTGATTCCCATTAGGGAAAGGAATCTTGGATTCAATGTCATTTGTCAGGGAACACTGCTAGGGTTTCGCTATRTGTCTTATAAAATATCTCAAAGACGAGCTTTCATTTCGTATGAGGATTCTCATAATGCACGTGCGYTACTTCCTTTTGCGAGCCTCTTAGACTGACATAGTGCGGGTGATGTCACTATTTGTCTCTCATATCCTTTCTAATCCTACTAGACGTCTTGTCACACGCGTTATTAATGACGCACACATTTCTTGTACTCGTTTTTAACCTGCGATGAACTTAAGCTCATCGTGATTGCACGATGGCTTTAAGCTAATCGCAGTTTCGTGCGAGGCCATGAGATCATCGCATTTCTATGTGGGTTCTGAGGTCATCGCAGATGTATGCTGAGTTATGAACTCATCACAGACATTCATGTTGTAGTGGTTTAGCACYTTCTGTGCTTTCATGGTCTAGGTGACCATCATACACCTACAAAGAGTGTTATAGAATCCAGTATTTCCATAAATGCTACTTTTATGGAAATACATATATTTATTATATGTATTTATTCAAAACATTTTTGTACAAATCTCTAGGATTTCAGTTCAAGCCGGTATAAGACCACATATACTTATTAAATTCTACATGATACATCAAGGAAAACCCCCTTCTTGTTATGAATGTCAAGTTCCCACATACCAAACAAAAAGGGAATTGGTACAAAGAAACAAAGAATATTTCTGTCAATTAGATTCACAAAGTAATTTTCTATCAACAATGAAAACATGCATTTCACCAAGTAAAATGAAGGTGCAACAGTACATAAACGTACAAAACCTTATTCTTGATCCTAAACATAGAATCAACAGGGAAGAAACAAGAAAGTCTTGGCATGCTATGCATAGATTAGAGGTTGGAAAAACGAAATGGCTAGGTAATCACTGTAGGAGCAACAATGGAGGCCCCATTTGTGATTGTTGGCTAGGGCTTGCCAAGCTGGTTGACAGGAATTTAAATCTGGCCAACTCATAATATCATGTAATTCTTAAACATTTTCTGATCTATGGGCTTAGTCTCCTTGAACTCATAGCTAATCCTTATCTGTGTGGCCTTTGTTGGTTAAAGCCTGCCTGAGTTTGAAACACAGGAAAGTGACTTTGAAGCTTGGAGAATTATAGTGACTGCAGTCTACAGTGCAACTTTTTGCTACTATCGAATTTTCAACCAAGTTCAAATAGTAGCAGTTTCCAACTGTTTGCTACTAAGGCATGTATAAAGAATTTACATGAAAAAGAAGAAAAACTTTCCCTGTTTTCATGACTGCATCATTTTTTTTTTCTTTTTTTGTTTTTGAGAAGCAAAATGGGAAATAGAATGATGTAGTTCCCACTTTAAAGCAAAGAAAATGAAGGCAGGTTGTTCGTTTGATAACTATGCTTTATTATTCAAGGTTACACATTTTGAATAAATTAAGGCTTGCCCTCAAAACTCAGTATGATGATATGGGATCCGTCATCATCTAGATGGGGGCACCAATTTTGTCTTTATGTAATCAGTACTGCATAACATACACTTAGATTGAATTGGCTTGTTGGGTATCAAAATGTAAAATAGTTATAGGGATTAAAACAGAGCTCTAAGACTATAGATTGAATTATTCAAAATAAATCTCTGTACCGATCTTTTTATCTTAGAATCCTCTACAACTAAAACCAAATATAAGAGGCTAGGGATGAGAAAAAAATAAACAAGAGAGAAAATACTTGAATGAACCTAACAGTCACAGAGGTCTGAGGTCTGAAGAGCATATTGCTTGAGAGAGAGAGAGACATGGACCAAAATACCACGGGAGTGTTGTCACTGGAGGAGTATTGTCATGGGAGAAAGTGAGAGGGCGAGAGAAAATAAACAATGATAAATCGCTGGGGAGAGAGAGAAATACCATCGGGACTATCACCGGAGTTAGGAGAATATTGCTGGAGAAAAACGGACTATCGTCGGAGTTCGTTCAATCTTTAGACTCTAAAGATGGAGTGATGGAGGCACCAAGCTCTAGCCTATGAAAGTTTCCAAGCTTCAAACGAAATGAAGGGACCAGCGGACTGATTAAAAATAATTGGCTTTGGGTCCATTTTATGTATAGACGATTTATATATGTTGGGAGCGGTCCAAGTCCATATCATTTTTAGGACCGTTCAATCCGTCTATAACAAGTCCGATTTGGACGGGTCCAACCCGAAACCGGTCCAATGACACCCATACGGACAGGGAGTGGGACAGCCCAAATATAAACCGCCCATGTCGTCGTCGATTTGGCTGACTGGTAATGGAAAAATGTGTCGTCTAGAAAAGAAGGCAAGTTAAGATATATGTATGGAAATAATTATGATGTGTATCATCGATCCTGATCCTCACTCAAAGAGCTGGGGCATTGGAAAAAACATCACTTTGATTTGATGAGTTGAATTTGAAACAACTTCCAGAACAAGTAAGAGAAAATAAATAAAGGATTTTGAGTATGGAATTAAATAAGACAAAAAGGTGTAGGAGAAATGGGCCATTCATAGGCCCACGTCTCGTGCTCACGACTCACGAGTCACCACACCATTCATATTTCTTTCTCTCTCTTCATAAAAACAAATTTTCTTCTTGACGTAATAATACACGTGTAGCCTACACTCCATAGTCTGGTCGCGGCGTGAATGCTGGAGGCACAAGACATTGCATGGGTGAGCAAAGAGTCTCAAGGAACATGCGAAGCACGTAAGACGAAGAAAAGGTGGGTGTGGAACGCCCTCCCTATTTCAGTATCAGCCCCCAGCCTGCAATTTAGATTCACACACAAGTCAATAGTTGTTTATTGAACAAAAAGTTTATTTCAGGTTAGATATCGCACAGCATGGAGCCAATTCAAGCTACTAGCTCAAACTTCAAAGGTTTGGTTTGGGTGCGTGTTTGAGCGCTATCGACGACGCTAGCTAAATGCCTAAAACCGAATGAGCAATTAGAATAGATGATGATATCAAATTAATTAATTTAAGGGTTGCTTTCTCTTATAATTATTATAAGATAGAATCATGGAGA